GATAATTGGCCTGACCTTACAAAAGTTCCTGCACTTTAGTACAGCTCTCTGCCCTGTAATCCTGACATTTTAATGCCCAAGGACATTACTCTCCCAGCCCTGCCTTGTTGAATTTTGCACTTTCCCATAGCTCTGTCTAGGAACTATTGCACAAACTCTGAGTGCTCTGAACTCAACATCTGTTATTGTTCAGTGTCAACTCTCTTATTTTATCCCAGTAAGGCGACCTTCTGCAGCTGGCAGATGGTAATTTTGTCAGCGCCGATTGTGTTTTAAGTGCAGGCCAAGGTCTTTAGGCACTGCACTCAGTGTGCCGATCACCACTGGGACCACCTTTACTGACAGCACAGTGATCTAGTTTGCTGTGTACTGATCTTGTTGTGTTTCTTATTATCATTATCATCATTATCATCATCATTATTATTAGAGACACAACAAGATTAGTGAAACACAACAAGATTAGTACACAGCAAACTAGATCACTGTGCTGGCTTTTGTATTTGATCACACGTCCGACACGTCCGAGCTTGAAAAGTGCATTAGATGATTTGTGTTGCCTCTTATAGTGCAGCATTGGATTGCATTATATGAGTCTGCGCTGACCCTGTAATGCAGTTCCAAAGGTAAAGGTAAAGATTTCCCCTGACATTAAGTCTAGTGGAGTCCAACTCTTGGGGTTGGTGCTCATCTCCATTTGTAAGACGAAGAGCTGGCATTGACCATAGATATCTCCAGGGTCATGGGGCCAGCATGACTGCATGGAGCGCCATTACCTTCCTGCAGACATTTGCATGTTTTCAAACTGCTAGGTTGGCAGAAGCTGCGGCTAGCAATGGGAGCTCACCCCATCCCACAGATTCAAACCACCGACCTTCCGGTCAGCAAGTTCTGCAGCTTAGCGGTTTAACCCGCTGCACCACCATGGCCCCTACAGTTCCAAACGACCTTAATATAGTGCTATAGATGGGCCTCTAGACATCTGTAGGTGAGCAGCTTAAGGGCAGTGTCTGGACTTCTATCACTGGAATCGGGGTAAACCCATATCCTTCCTGTAGCCCAGGAAAAGAGGTAGAAATGTTGTTTCGCATGTTGATGTGCACGCCTAGACAGCCGGCTCTCTCTTTCTGTTGTAAGGCACCACCGCATGCATACCTTTGGTTTCCGCTCCTCCGCAGACCTGTTTATGAGCAGGAAGTTTCCATGACGCAGGCTGACTCCTCAGCAACGGGGTGGGGGGGTGGGGGCATGATTGACACTCACTCCCCATACAGATTGAAGGGGGGACTTCCACCCCAAGAAGAAGAATCGAGTCTCAAATTGGGCCCCTGCTCCGCTCCATGGATAATTCAATCCTAGAGTTGGAAGGGGCTCCCAAGGGCCATCTAGTCTGACCCTATTCTTCTTACAAAATGCTAATAATAATAGCAGAAACCCCAAGGGAACCATCCAGTTAACTCCCTTCTTCCATACAGGAATGGCACAATCAAAGCACCCCTGACAGATAACCATACAGCCTCTGAAAATAATAATAATAATAATAATAATAATTATTATTATTATTATTATTATTATTATTATTATTACAGAAAATGAACACGTCAAACTACTCTGGGACTTATGAATTCAGACTGACAGAGTTTTGGAGCACAATACTCCTGACCTAATGATCGTGTTAAAAAACAAAGTATGGATCGTTGATGTTGCAATCCCAGGCGATAGCAGGATTGAAGAGAAACAACTGAAAAAGCTGACATGATACGAGGATTTAAAGATCAAACTGCAAAGTCTCTGGCACAAGCCAGTCAAGGAGGTCCCAGTGATGATCAGCACACTGGGTGCAGTGCCTAAAGACCTTGACCTGCACTTACAAACAATCGGCACTGACAAAATTACCATCTGTCAGCTGCAAAAAGCCAGCCTACTTGGATCTGCACACATTATTTGCCAATACATTACACAGTCCTAGACACTTGGGAAGTGTCGGACATGTGATCAAATACAAAAGCCAGCATAGCGATCTAGTTTGCTGTATACTAATCTTGTTGTGTATATAATAATAACAATGATGATGATAATGATGTTGTGGCTTGAGAAAGATCCTAGTCCCTAGGGCCATCTAGTCCAACCTCCTTCTGCCCTGCAGAAAAAGCACAATCAAGGCACCCCCAAAAGAAGGCCACCCAGCCTCTGTTTAAAAGCCTCCAAAGAAGGAGCCTCCACCAGACTCTGAAGCTGGATCTACACTGCCACATAAAATCCAGACTATCTGCTTTGAATTGGATCTTATGGCAGTGTCGACTCATACAATCCATCTGGTTTATATGGCAGGGCAGATCCAGCCTGAGGCAGAGAGTTCCACTGTTGAACAGATCTCACAGTCAGGAAAATCTACGATTTCAAAAACAGAACCTCTTTACTGCATCACCTTCTAAACCCAATACGGTCCGCTTACTCTGACTGGCAGCACCTCTCTAATATCTCCAATGGCCCTACATATCGTTGATACTTTCAATTCAGGATGCATTTATACTGTGGACTTAATGCAGTTTGACCCCGCTTTAAATGCCATGGCTCAGTGCTATGGGATCTTGGGTGCTGTAGTTTGGTGAGGCAGTCTGGCAAGTTTGTTGTCTGGCGAAAAGGCTAAGGACTTTGTAAAACTACAACTCTTATGATTCCACATAACTGAGCCATGGGAGGTAATGTGGTGCCAAACCACATCATATCTACAGTGTAGATGCATTATCCCTCAGGAGTAAACTGAAAACAAGTTATTGCCCTCCAGATATTTTGAATGACGGCTTCCACTGGCTTCAACCATGCATGGCCAATGGTCAAAAGTGATGGAAGCAGCAAGGCAAAACCATCACCGGCTGCCAAGTTCTAGTTCTCAGGAACATGAAAAAGCAATCGCAAGGGCTGGCAAGTCAGTGGCAGTATGTATACTTTCTAAACAAAAGAAAAAGTTCTTTTGTGGTGTGGGAAAGATGCCAGTCCCAATAATCCTTGGGGAACGACGCCCATTCAGTCGACAATACAGAGTTTGGCAGAACAATGGCCCAGGCTTGGTATCAAGTACCTTCCTCCTTTCCTGAGAACAAAGACAAGGTTAATGGTTCCACTCTTGCATACCAAAAGAGTTGCTCACAGCTGCTTGAAAACATACTTTGTGGTTCTGCATCCTCTTCCTCCTCACAACATAGCCGCTGGCCATGGTGACCGACTACTATACTATTCCAAGAGGCAGCGGCTGGAAAAAATAACTTTCCAAGGAAAGATACTTGACTGTGTTGGCTTTGCCAAAGACCACCCATCATCCCGATATGACCCAAGGTTTCCATCAGCAAAGACAACGGAAACGTTGCTGCCTGGCATCACTCCTGCCTCCAGCTGTCAGGTTCTCTGCATCGAACCATATGCGAGGCTGTCCTTATAAAGGCGGAAACAAGACAAAAAATCGCACTTAATGGAAACATAAACACATTATCTGGGGCAACAAAGCAAAAGAACAGTTATCGCTCCAGGCCCCGAACAGAGCACCGAGCATGCCAACTCCAGGAAAAGTTAGAAGCGCCAACGGGGTCTTCCGCCACATCCAGACCTCAATGCCTTCTGTCGTAAATCAATACATATTTGCTTTATATGAACATTACACCTTGGTCACATTTCTGCTTGGAAAGAAAGGCAAGAGCACATTGGTTTCTTGCTATTATCTGCTTTCCTTTCCGACTGATGGAGAGCCCGAAGGTGAACCTCTCACGAGGCTTTCTTGGAAAGATTGATAAAAGAGGTTGATGCCTGAGGCTGAGACAGTGTGACCTCCAAGGTCACCAGTGGGTTCCTATGGCTGGGCACCAGTCACCAGAGCCATACTCCACTGTACAAACAACACTCAGAACCTGAGTCTCCTTCACCCAAAGCCAGAGCTCTAACCATCGCCTCGTACTTGCTTGACTCTTCCCAATTTTATCTTCCCAACGCACCGATCGAGACTTGTATGATAGAATGGAGGGGTTGCTTCTCACATTTGCAGGCCATGCAAAATTGGGAAGCATGGCTACTATGCTGGAAGACAGCCACAAAATTTTAAAAGGACCTTGGGAAACTAACATATCCATATCTATATCTATGTAATGAAAGTCAAAGTTTGTATATGTATGTATTTTCCAAGATGGCCCCAACTGTAGAAAGCACTGTAACTCCTGCCAACAACAGATCAGGACCAAACTTGGCACACATGACCCCCTTTAAGTCCTGGTGGGTTTTGGGGTGGAGGGAAGGACCCTGGACGATGGGGGTTGCAGTACCTTCACCCAAATCCAGAGGCTACTGAGAAGCCCATCACCCATGGAACTGGACAAAACTTGGCACACAGACACTCCATGACTCACTTCATGTCCTGGTGGTATTTTTGAGGAGAAAGACCCTGGATTATGGGAGCTGAAGTACCTTCACCCATATCCAGACACTACTGAGAACCCCATCAGCCATGGATCTGGACCGAACTTGACACACAGACACCCCATGACTCACTTCAAGTTCTGGTGGTATTTGGGGGGGGGGGACCCTGGATGATGGGAGTTACAGTACCTTCACCCACATCCAGAGACTACTGCAAAGCCTATCAGCCATGGAGCTGGACCAAACTTGACATACAGACACCCCATGACTCACTTCAAGTCCTGGTGGTATTTTTGGGGGGGAAGGACTCTGGATGATGGGAGTTGCAGTACCTTCACCCACCCCATCAGCCATGGATCCAGACCCAACTTGACACACAGACACCCTGTGACTCACTTTAAATCCTGGTGAGGTTTTTTTTTTTTTGGGGGGGGGGGTTAGGAACTTGGATGATGGGATTTACAGTACCTTCACCCAATCCAGAGACTACTGAGAAGCTCATCAGCCATAGATCTGCAACAAACTAGATATACTCCCCAATTTTTACTTTCCCCAGTTTTATCTCTGGGGATGCCCTGAGCCAAGTCGCTTGCCTTTACCTCCTCAGTGGTCAGGGGCATGCAGATGCGGTATTCCTTCACCAGCATTGTCGGTCCGGTGTGGATGAAGACTCTGCACTGCTGGAATGGTGGGAACCTTCACCAACTGGGTGGCATCTGGAAATTCCTTGGGGAAGCGCACATCCTGCAGGGAGGCAGGGTGCCCCAATCTGAAGCTGCAACAGGAGAGGAAGAAAGCATCAGGACAGAGTGAGCAAGAACTCTCCGAACATGTTGGACAAGCACGAGAGCCAAGACACTGTGCGCTCCCCTCCTGCACTCCTCCTCTCCCTCATTCTCTGCTTGTGACTTCATCAGAGGTTGCCATGGCAGCCGTTGTGAGGTCACAATCCTCCTCACGTGTGCGATCCAGAGGAGCCCAAGCAATGGGAGCAAGTATTTTTTGGTGACCAACCGCCAGGCACGTGCCAGTGTTGCTTTCCGCAAAGCGAACCCTCTTCCACTTTCTCCCTCCTGGAAGTTTTGGGTATGAAGTTACTCCAAAAGGGAAGGAGGCTGCACTGGTGCACTCGGATCGCTTCTCTCCCTGCCCTGTTTTGGAATTCCATGCCATATTGAATAGGGAGAGTTGGTCCTGAAAGGTGGAAGCGGAGGCGCGGCGTTCTGCTCAGCCATTGCACTCACTTCGCTTTCAGCAACTCATCATCTCTCTAGCTAACCTAACTTGACTTGCCAGAATGGTATAATTGTCAGACCAGAGACAAACACCAGCTGGTAAATCTGAGTGTGAATTCTGGAGGGATGCCAAGTGATGCACATGTATGTGTCTGAGTAGAAAAAGCACCATACTGTCATTCCACATGAGTGCTGAGAAACAGAGATAAGGAACGTATCAGAAGTGGCCAGCTGATGCATTTCACAAGAATGAGAATATCTACTTCTGAACCCTACACCAGGCATGGGCAAACTTGGGCCCTCCAGGTGTTTTGGACTTCAACTCCCACAATTCCTAACAGCCAGTTAGGAAGTTTTGGGTATGAAGTTACTCCAAAAGGGAAGGAGGCTGCACTGGTGCACTCGGATCGCTTCTCTCCCTGCCCTGTTTTGGAATTCCATGCCATATTGAATGGGGAGTAGGCTGTTAGGAATTGTGGGAGTTGAAGTCCAAAACACCTGGAGGGCCCAAGTTTGCCCATGCCTGATCTACACTGTTGATGAAGAAGCTCACCTCCCTTTGAGTCTTAAAAGCTTAAAGGATGTAGAGTACTAGATCTAGGGGGTGATAGCAATGAATGAATTATCCAATCCCTAGATAATAATCCTGCCCCTCCAATGACGGGGAAGGAGATTCCACCTGAACATTAGGATGCTCCTTCCTAACCATTAGAAAAGAGGTTCACCAGTGGGACTCTCTGCCTCAGGATGTAGCAGAGGTTTCAAAGCAGAGGCTGGGTAGCCACTTGTTGGGAGGGATTCGGTTGCATCTTCCCTGACTGAAAGAAGAGGGTTGGACTGGATGGCCTTTGGGCGTCCCCTCAAAGGATGCTAGGTGATTCACACAGCTGAGCATCTGATCTAAAGTAGAGTTTGGCTGTGGGGATGGGTCCCCGGCATTGTTGGGTTCTTGGAGAGGGTTTTTCACAAGCGACCAAAGTCCTGTGGCGGCAAATGAGGATCCTCTTGAAGGGAGACATGACTCAATGCCAGCATCACGGAGGCAAAATTTGGAGGAAAGGGGTATAAGGACCAAGGCAGTCACAATGACAACACTATCCACCCTCCACACTGAACCAGGCCACATCAGCTCATGTCTGTGCCGCTTCTCACAAGAGATGGTGGCCTCAATGGCCCCTTGGGGAGATTCAACAGCACACCTTTTCTGAACTGCAAGCCATCCTTGATAGTTTTGCAAGAAACTCTGGCTTTTTCTATCAAAGAGTGTAGGTTGATAGGTACCTCACAAAGCTACAGAGAAGGATTGGTAAAAGGCCACAAGCTGAGCATGAGCCAAGAGTGTGGCGCAGCAGCTTTAAAAGCCATGGAATCATAGAATCATAGAGTTGGAAGAGACTTTGTGGGCCATCCAGTCCAACCCCATTCTGTCAAGAAGCAGGACAATAGCGTTCAAAGCACCCTCAACAGATGGCCATCCAGCCTCTGTTTAAAAGCCTCCATAGAAGGAGCCTCCACCATACTTTGGGGTACAGAGTTCCACTGCTGAACAGCTCTCACAGTTAGGAAGTTTTTCCTAATGTTCAGGTGGAATTTTCTTTCCTGTAGTTTAAAGCCATTGTTCCGCATCTTGGTCTCCAGGGCAGCAGAAAACAAGCTTGCTCCCTCTTCCCTACGACTTCCCCTCACATATTTACATGTCTATCATGTCTCCCCTCAGACTTCTCTTCTGCAGGCTAAACATGCCCAGCTCTTTAAGCCGCTCCTCATAGGGCTTGTTCTCCAGACCCATGATCATTTTAGTCACCCTCCTCTGGACACATTCCAGCTTGTCCACATCTCTCTTCAACTGTGGTTCCCAGAATTGGACACAGTATTCCAGATGTGGTCTAACCAAGGCGGAATAGAGGGGTAGCATGAATTTCCTCGATCTAGACACTGTATCCCATTGGCCTAAATCCCATTGGCTTTTTTAGCTGCTGCATGACATTGCTAGCTTATGTTCACCTTCCTGTCCACAAGGACTCCAAGGTTTTATTTCACACGTACTCCTGTCGAGCCAGGTGTCCCCCATTCTGTATCTTTGCATTTCCTTTTTTTTTTTTGCCTAAGTAGAGTATCTTGCATTTGTCCTCATTGAACTTCATTTTGTTAGTTTTGGCCCATCATCTCTCTAATCTGTTAAGATCATTTTGAATTTTGCTCCTGTCTTCTGGAGTATTGGCTCTCCCTCCCAATTTGGTGTTGATGATCATGCCTTCTAACTCTTCATCTAAGTCATTAATAAAGATATTGAACAGAACTGGGCCCAGGATGGAGCCAGTGAGATTCTAGGACCTGATCACATTAGGAAATACTCCATTTCGGAGACTGAGAATGATTTTGAACAGGTCCCATCACAGGACATTCGCTCATTCCGTCAGTATTGCGCCGGAATCCGTCTGCAAAGCATTGCAGAAATTCGCAGATGGAATTCTAATCGTGTTTTTTTCTTCTTCCGTTGCTGAAGCGCTGTTTTGGTGTATGATAGGAAAATCTGTATGCATCCTATTGGCAACAACACATTTTAAAAAGTCACGGAGTGGGTGATGTAGAGGGTGCTTTTAACGGATTGGGAGGAGCCAGCCTTCCGTGGTGTGAGGAGTCAAAGTGCAGTATTTCCAAATCAAAAGAATCAGGCGTGACGAGGAAGGAGAGGATACATCCTGTCTCAATGCAGGATGCATCCAGTCCTTAAAAAAATACGGGGTGCATACTGATATAAACAGCTTATATCCCAATGTGATGAGGTCCCTATTCTAGTGTCCGGATTGAGAGAGAAGACAGGCCCACCATCTTCTGCTTTGATCAGACCACTTTGTCAGGAATAATATGCTGTCCAATTTCTGGGCATCTCAACTCAAGAAGGATAATGAGAAGCTGGAAGGTCCCTGGAGAAGGACATCCAAAATGATTCAAGGTTTGGAAGAGAAGCCCTGCAAGGAACAGCTCAAAGAGATGTGTCTGTTCATTTTGGACACGAGAGCCATGTTTACATATTTGGAATGATGTTTCCTTGAGAAAGAAGAGACAAGCTTGTTTTCTGCTGCTTTTGGACACAATGGAGGAAAGGGTTCAACCAGCAGGAGAAAAGATACTACAGTACAAGTCTCACTTATCCAGCATAAATGGGCCGACAGAACATTAGATAAGTGAAAATGTTGGATAATAAGGAGAGATTAAGGAAAAGCCTATTAAACATCAAATTACATTATGATTTTACAAATTAAGCACCAAAACATCATGTTTTACAACAAATTGACAGAAAAAGCAATTCAGTACATGGCAACGTTATGTAGTAATTACTGTATTTACGAATTTAGCACCAAAACATCGCAATGTATTGAAACAGCTGTGGATCCGGGCGGGAGGCAGACTGTGTTGGATAATACAGAATGTTGGATGAGCTAAGGTTGAATAAGCGAGACTCTACTGTAGTTGAATATTAGGAGAAGCATCCTGATGGTTAGAGTTGTTTGATGGTGGATTAGGCTGCCTGGAGGTTTTTAAGCAGAGACTGCATGGCCATCTGTCGGGAGTGTTTGGATTGTATTTCTCTCTGCCTGGCAGTGTTATTGGTTTGGATGGCCTTGGGGGATCTTAAGTCATGACTCTGACTTCCACTCCCATGATCCCTCACTCTTGTTCATATTACCAAGGGGAGATGGGAAGTATAGTCCAAAACATGTGAAGGCACATGTTGGGGAAGGAAGGCAGGGGTATTGAGCCCCTCTTGAAACAGCCTCCAGATGTGCCCAGACTACAAATCCCATTGCTCTGGCATGAATTATGACCCAATGCCTTCATGCTAGTGCTGGTTAATGTTAAAATGGGAATGATAATATGTCCTGTTTTGGGATCCCCATGATTTTCTTTCCTCAAATGCGATCCCTTCCAGATGGGAACGGCCTCTTGCAGGCTTGCTGCACAGCTTGACTGCAAGGGGCCCCTTTGCAAAGCTGCCACCACTGCTGTGTCTATTTACACAGCATATAAATAAAGCCTAGCTCAGCACAGGGTGCAAGGAGGGGGAAGGCATCCATGGCCACTTTTTCCAAACCTTCTTTGCAGAAGCGATAGGAACAGACAGGCCAGGCTGGATCTTTGCCCAAAGGGCAATTTGTCTATACTGGAGTGAGTGGCTAATCCGCAATCAATACCATTCTCAGGGCAACACATCTGCTCTTAATGTTTCACATCCAGCTGCCCAGTTAAGGCAAAGGCAAACGTGAATTGCACTGAATGCCGGAGCCAAAAGGAAAAACCCAGCCTGTTCTGGAAAACCGTTGAATGACATGGAAATTGGAACTCCACAGTCATAAGAGAGAATGAGAGGCCCTAGCCTTAGGCAGTATCCACGTTGCATATAATCCAGTTTCTGAATCCAGGTTATCTGCCTTGAACTGGATTATATGAGGCTCCTACTACACTACCATATACTTCAGATTATCAAATCAGATAATCAAGATTACCTACTTTGAACTGGATTTTATGAGTCTATGAGACTTTTGAACTGAGGATTATATGAGTCTATGAGGTTGGGTGGCTACCTGTTGGGAGGGCTTTGATTGTGCCTTCCTTCCTGGCTGAACGCAGTTGGACTAGATGCGCTCTGGGGGTCCCTTTCAGTGGATCTCCTTTTCTGGAGACTTTTGAACTGAAGCTGGGTGGCCATCTGTTGGAATGGCTTTGAGTGTATCTTCCTGCCTCACCGAAAGGGGTTGGACTAGATGCCCTCTGGGGGTCTCTTCCAACTTTAGTGAAGTATAGACTACCTGGGAGCCCAGTAGAGTCTTCTTCTCTGAAGGCCGCCTGTCGGGAGGGCTTTGATTGTGCCTTCCTTTCTGGCTGAATGGGGTTGGACTACATGCCCTCTGGGGTCCCTTTCAGTGGAGTCTCCTTTCCTGGAGACTTTTGAACTGAGGATGGGTGGCCATCTGTCAGGAGGGCTTTGAGTGTGTCTCCTGCCTCACTGAATTGGGTTGGACTAGATGCCCTCTAGGGGTATCTTCCAACTTTAGTGAAGTATAGACTACCTGGGAGCCCTCTAGAGTCGTCTTCTCTGAAGGCTTTTGAACTGAGGCTGGGTGGTCGCCTGTTGGGAGAGCTTTGACTGTGTCTTCCTGTGCCTTTCTTCCGGGCTGAATCGGGTTGGACTCAATGCCCTTTGGGGGTCTCTCCCAACTGTAGTAATAGACTCCCTGGAAATCTATTCCTTCCTCTCTGGAGGTGTTTGGACTGAGGCTGGATGGCCATCTGCCGGGAGAGCTTTGACTGTGTCTTCCTGCCAAGCAGACTTGGCTTGTGAGGGTGGGGATGGGGTGCATTTTAATGCGACCCCCCCCCCCCGGTGGGCTTCTAATAAGGCCCCTTCGACACTGACATATAATCCATATTATCAAAGCAGATAATTCAGATTATATGAGTCCACACTGCCATATAATCCCGTTCAAAGCAGATAAACTGGATTTTATGTGGCAGTGTAGACAGAGCCTCAGAGATTCATCACAGAGGGAAGGGCATAGCGTTGAAGCTTCTAACAGATCTCTCTAACCGATTTGCTCTCAGTATCTGCTCTCTTTGCCAATGAAGGGGTCCACCCACCGGCCATTGAGAGCCAGTGTAAGTGGATAGATGGGGGGGGGGGGATGATGATGCAAAGGATGCTCCTTTGTCCCTTTTAGCCATTTTAGAGCCCAAATGGTTAAATACACAATACAGGGCAAAAGGGGAAGCGAGTCTGGAAACATTCCTTGCAATGGTGCAGTCGACTTGGTTGATTTATGTTCCAGACTCGACCCAGAAGGCCTTTCCAGGCTGGCTTTTGGGCAGGCGACCAGCAGCTCCATCTCAAGGCATAAGAATATCTTCCCAATCCCAACTGTTTGGAATGGTTTAAACTGAACTTTCCCACTTTTCATGTTGGTAACAAGCTTTTTCGATCTGCATCCTTTTGTGTCACAGTAACTCAGTTTAACTAGCAAACTTGAGGTTAAAACCAACCTCTTATAAGATTTTCATCAAATATATAATATATGTTTTGTATAATTATTTACGGATTTTTTTTCTCCTTTACATTGCTTATCATGTCCTGCAGTTGATTCTTATAAGGTTTCCTCCATAGCCGCTCCATGGGGTTCATCACAAATATAGTTGCCAATAGATGTTATGTTCCAAATTAGAAATTTGCCCCTTTTAGTGGTAATTCCTGCACTTCAATCAACACATTGTGCAAATAGAAAAAAAATATAACCACATCTACACTTGAATAGCACCAGCAGCCATTTCTGTAGGGATCAAACCTCTCTGGAAGTTTTTAAACAGAGGCTGGATGGTTATCTAGTGTGCTTTGGCTGTGTCTTCTTGCCTGGCTGAAGGGGGTTGGACTAGATACCCTTTGGGGGTCCTTTCCAACTCTAATGAAGTATAGACCCCCTGGGAGCCTAGTGAAGTCTGCTTCTCTGGAGGCTTTTGAATTGAGACTGGATGGCCATCTGTCAGGAGGGATTTGATTTTGTCGTCCTGCCTGACCAAAAGGGGTTGGACTAAATGCTCTTTGGGGGTCTCTTCTAGTGAAGCCTCCTTCTTTGGAAACTTTTGAACTGAGGCTGGGTTGCTGTGTGTCAGGAAGGCTTTGATTGTGCCTTCCTTCCGGGCTGAATGGGATTGGACTAGATGCCCTCAGGGGGTCTCACCCAACTTTAGGAATTTAGAAACTCCCTGGGAGTCCAGTGGAGTCTTATTCTATGGAGGTTTTAAATTGAAGCTGGATGGCCGTCTGTTGGAAGGGCTTTGACTGTGTCTTCCTGCCTGATCAAAAGAAGTTGATGCCGTATTGTCGAAGGCTTTCATGGCTGGAATCACTAGGTTCTTGTGGGTTTTTTCGGGCTATAGAGCCATGTTCTAGAGGCATTTCTCCTGACGTTTCGCCTGCATCTATGGCAAGCATCCTCAGAAGTTGATGCCCTTTGGAGATTTGTTCTAGTGAAGTCTCCTTCTCTGAAGGCTTTTGAACTGAGGCTGGGTGGCCATCTGTTGGGAGGGCTTTGATGGTGCCTTTCTTCCAGGCTGAGTGAGGTTGCACTAGATACCCTTTGGGGGTCCTTTCAAGTACAATCTCCTTCTCTGGAGGCTTTTGCACTGAGGCTGTATGGCTGTTTGTGGGGAGGGCTTTGACTGTGTCTTCCTGCCTGACCAAAAGGGGCTGGACTAGATGCCCTTTGTGGGTTCCTTCTAGTGAAGTCTCCTTCTCTGGAGGCATCTGAACTGAGGCTGGGTGGCCATCTGTTGGGAGGGCTTTGACTGTGTCTTCCTGCCTGACCAAAAGGGCATGGACTAGATGCTCTTTGGGGGTCCCTTCTAGTGAAGTCTCCTTCTCTGGAGGTTTTTGAACTGAAGCTGGGTGGCCTTCTGGTGGGAGGGCTTTGACTTGTTTCCTTTGGGGTGGGGGCATTTTTTATGCAACACCCTTGTGAACTACAGGCAGCACAGGAGCCATATGTCCTGACACACAGTTTGGAAAGGTCTAGCTCAAAGTATTGGATATGGGCTAAAGAGACCCAAATTGGAGTCTGTGTCAAATTAGAAAACTGAGCCAGTGGGGACTGGGACCCCTTCTCTCTTGGCCTGACCTACCTTGCAGGGTTGTTTTGAGGATAACGGCAGAAGAAGAGACTCAGGCCCCTTCCACACAGCTGCAAAAAAATCCACATTGAACTGGATTATATGACAATGTGGACTCAGATAACCCAGTTCAAAGGAGATGTTGTGGATTAGCTGCCTTAATATATGGGTTATATGGCTATATGTAAGAGCCCTTAGGTCTGGGGGGATTTTGGGAGTTGTAGTTCAAAAAAGGAACTTTCCCAAGCGTTTTAGATAGAATAGAATACATACTTTATTGTCATTGTATAGTGAAATTAAATGCCTTCCCCAGCACACATCCCAAAACAACACACCCATCCTTCCACATTGTAATCACTCTTATTCAGACCGCAATTGCACATCAGTGCAAAGCCATGGTGTCCAGCATAGTCACAGCTATAGGTAAAGCTATCCTTTAGTCTGTTTGTCCTTGCCTTTGTCACCCTGTGTCGTCTGCCAGATGATAATAATTCAAAGAAAGATTATGCCGGGTGAGATGTGCCCCCACTTAACCCTAACCTAGGCATCCCAAGCTACCTTTGCTAGCAATAATAATGGGTCGTTGTAGGTTTTTCGGGCAGTACGGCCATGTTCTAGAAGCATTCTTTCCTGACGTTTTGCCTGCATCTGTGGCAGGCATCCTCAGACGTTGTGAGGGCTTTGATTGTGCTTTCCTTCCACGCTGAATGAGGTTGCACTAGATGCCCTTTGGGGGTCCCTTAAGTAGAATCTTCTTCTCCGGAAACTTTTGAACTGAGGCTGGATGGCCATCTGGTGGGAGGGCTTTGACTGTGTCTTCTTTGATGTGGGGGACCTCACAATCTCTGAGGATGCCTGCCATAGATGCAGGCAAAGCGTCAGGAGAGAATGCTTCAAGAACATGGCAATACAACATGAAACACCTACAACAACCCAGTGATTCCGGCCATTAAAGCCTTCAACAATACAATAATAATAATAATAATAATAATAATTCTGGTAGCCTGAGTTGCCCTCCACAGTCTAGAAGCAAGGTGGGCAGCCATGCATGTGCTTTGGCTGCCAGAGATGAGAAGCACACAACCCTGGAGGTGGAGGGGCGCCCAAAGGCCATCCAGTCCAGCCCTATCCGGCCAGGCACCACCCATGAAGCCCTCCCGACAGATGGCCACCCAAACCCCTGCTTGGGAACCTCTTCTGCAAAGAAGCAGAGTAGGGGTCTCTCCTTTAGGAAGTTTGAAACTGGATGCATGGCTGCCTCTGGAAGCAGCAGGAAATATACATATTTTGCGGTGTTGATTCCTGGCTTTCATGCCCAGCCAAGATCCCCAACCCCTACCCGATTTCAGGTGCTGGGCTCACCTCCTTCTCCAAAATGGGCGCTGGCTTTCCGGAGGGGAAACTGAGGCTGGGCGGCAGGAGAGAGAGGAGGACAAGGCGACTGGTCCTGGATGCTGCTGCTTTGGCTTCTGCTGCTGCTGCTTGCTGTTCTTACAGCTGCCTCTGGAACCTGCTCAACAGCGGCCGCTACTGGAGAGAAGCGGTGATGCAGCCCTGACCGACTGACCGTTGGAGACGCCCCTTTCCTGCAAAAAGAAAAAAAAAAGGGGGGGGGGAGATGAGCGATTATTATTAGGTAAGGTAAGGTAAAGGGTTTCCCTTGAAATTGAATCCAGTCGTGTCGGACTCTGGGGGTTGGTGCTCTTCTCCATTTCTAAGCCTAAGAGCCGGCATTGTCCACAGACACCTCCAAGGTCATGTGGCCAGCAGCTCAGCGGTTTAACCCACTGCGCCATTGGGGGCTCTAACTAAGGGATTGCCTATACATAGCCTAAATAAAGCTAATTTTGTAACACAATTAAATAATGTTGTCAAAGGCTTTCATGGTTGGAATCACAGCCCGAAAAACCCACACCAACACAATTAAATAATGTTTCTGCACCATGAAGCATCAGAAAGCAAAAGTGCTATTCTCTCAACCACCCATTTCAGGGTTGTTTTGTATATATGGGATCCTCAACATGTAACACTAGGGATATATTTGAGGCATGGAGCCCTCCATGTCTTGCTGGATAGTAAGTCCCATCACCCTTGCATTGTGAATGGCAAAGGATGATGGGAGTCACAGTCAACCAAGCTCTAGAGGGCAACAGGTTCCTCACCCCTATTTAGATCCCCATCAAAACAACTGACTTTTAACCAACTAGAGGCAGTGAAAAGCAAAGCACTTGGGTTTTGGCAGCCAACCAACTTGTTAAATAGCAAGGAGTGGTACCTATTGATCTACTCACATTTGCATGTTTTCGAACTGCTAGGTTGGCAGAAGCTGGGGCTGTCAGCAGAAGCTCACGCTGCTTCCCGAATTCGGACCTCCGACCTTTCAGTCAACAAGTTTAGCAACTCAGCGGTTTAACCCACTGTGCCACCGGGGGATCTATTATTAGTTACTGTCCCCCCCCCCCCAAAAAAGGAGAAACGCTAAACAATGCTCCAACTTTCATACAGTGGCACTTATTTCTCATGCCAGTAAGATAATGCTCAAGGTTCTGTAAAGTGGACTCCAGCGATACATGGAGCAAAAGTTTCAAGATGTACAAGCTGAGTTTAGAAAAGGAATTCAAGTGATTCAAGTCACGAAAGCCTTTGACAACACATTCACTGGTGAGTTTTTAATCTGAAACTTTGGTTATTAATTATAGTTCGCATAGCTCACCAGGCAGTTCCCTCTCATTTTACTGCGGTCTAAATTTCGTATCAATGGGTTCTAGGGAGCAGCTTTGGCCTGACTTAGAAACTGATCGGCCCAAGTGAGAGATGGATCAATAGCCACCAACTCAGCCAAAGGCGACGCTTCCTAAGGACATCATGGCACTTCTTTTGCCAAGCTGTTCAAAACCTTAACAGGGAATTGCTAATATTGTGCTATGCTAATAACATAAACCCATTATTTGGCATTCCCAAAACACAGGTCCCCTGAAAGTGCGGCCATGGATCCTCTCTGGGCTCTAGCTGGCATTTTAAGTGGATGCTGAACCCTTACTTCACAACAGGCACCTTGGAAAACTCAGTTCAAACTCAGTATGGATTCACCATCCCAACGACTTGGGAGTTGCTATCTACTTATAAAGTAGCCTTATAATAATAAAAATAATAAATAAATAATAATATACTTTATTTATATTCTGCCCTATTTCCCTGGGCGGACTCAGGACAGATTACAGACACATATACAGCAAACATTCAATGTCGTCATACAATTAACAAAGACAGACAATACATAAACAGAGGTGAAGGCTTCCCATCTTTTTCCATCTCAGGCATCTGGAGGCTGTGCTCGACTCCGGCCGGGCGGGGTGTGTGTGTGTGTGTGTGTGTGTGTGTGCTGTCACTCCATCTTCCATGTTGAGGAGCTTTGTTGTCTTTAGACATTCTCCCATTCGAATTGCCAGCATATCCACATGGGCACCTTTTATTACCTCCCCATCAAAGTGGTCCCTATTTATCTGTTCACACTATTGTTTTCAAACTGCTACGTGAGCAGAAGCTGGGCTGATGGTTGGGAGCTCAACTCGACCAGGCTTGACCAGCAAGATTTTCTGCAGCTGGAGGCTTAACCCACTGTGCTAAAGCCAAGCTAATACTGAAGGAGTCTCTAGGTGTATCTACACTATAGTATCAATACAGTTCAACACTACTTTAACTGTCAAGGCTCAATACTCTGGAATCCTGAGAGTTGTAGTTTGGTGGGATGCCAGCATTTATTGGGCAGAGGAAGCTAAAATCCTCCTCAGGGAATTGCAGTTTTACAGGATCTCGAGCTTCCACGGCCAAAGGATGCTGGGGCCTCATCAAACTACAACTCCCAAACCACTGTCCACTTGCATGCATTCCTACTTCAATTGCAAATCCACATGGAAAGGGAGAAGAAGCTCACTTGCATGGATTCAATTGCAAACCCACAGGGAAAGCCCAGCTCACAGTCTATCTGCTCCTTTCGGAAGGGGGAAGAAAACACGTGGAAACCCATAGGGACTGCATTGATGAAGAAGGGGAATTGCAAAAGGAAGGCCATCTGGGTGCATACACTACTTTCCATGATTTCACCCTCAGCACAGTTTCAGGCTCCAGCAAAGGATCACCGCCTTGTCGGGGCGCTGGAGCTTGAGCACCTCAATGATGTCATGAGCGAAACCGTGAAGGGACACCCAAGACGGGACGGTTGTGGCAGAGAGGTCAGACCAAGCGTGATCCCGGGAAGGCAATGGCAAACCACTCCAGTATCCTTGCCAAGAAAACTAAATGGACCAGTACAACCAGAGATATGTCGGTATGCCATTGGAAGATGGGACTCCCAGGTCGGAAGATGGCCAAAATGCTACTGGGGAGGAGCAGAGGATAAGTTCAACTAGCCCCAGATGTGATGGCGCAGCTAGCTCAAAGCCGAAAGGAAGGCTAGCGGCCGACGGTACTGGAGGTGAACGAATCCGATGCTCTAAAGATCAACACACCATAGGAACCTGGAATGTAAGATCTATGAGCCAGGGCAAATTGGATGTGGTTATTGGTGAGATGTCAAGACTAAAGATAGACATTCTGGGGGTCAGCGAACTGAAATGGACTGGAATGGGCCACTTCACATCAGATGACCACCAGATCTACTACTGCGGACAAGAGGAACATCGAAGAAATGGAGTAGCCTTCATAATTAATAAGAAATTCGCTAAAGCGGTGCTTGGATACAACCCAAAAAATGACAGAATGATCTCAATTCGATTGCAAGGAAAGCCTTTCAACATCACAGTGATCCAAATATACGCCCCAACCACAGCTGCTGAAGAAGCAGAAGTAGATCAGTTCTATGAGGATCTGCAGGACCTACTGGATAATACACCAAAAAGAGACATTATTTTCATTACAGGAGACTGGAATGCCAAGGTGGGAAGTCAAATGACAACTGGGATCACAGGCAAGCATGGTCGGGGAGAACAAAATGAAGCGGGACGCAGGCTGATAGAATTTTGCCAGGAAAACTCGCTGTGTATAACGAATACTCTCTTCCAACAACCTAAAAGACGGCTTTACACATGGACCTCACCAGACGGTCAACACCGAAATCAGATTGACTACATCCTTTGCAGCCAAAGGTGGCGGACATCCATCCAGTCGGTGAATACAAGACCTGGGGCTGACTGTAGCTCAGATCACGAACTTCTTATTGCCCAATTTAGAATAAAACTAAAGAGATCAGGGAAAATACACAGACCAGTTAGATATGATCTCACTAACATTCCTAGCGAATATACAGTGGAAGTGAAGAACAGATTTGAAGGACTAGATTTAGTAAACAGAGTCCCAGAAGAACTATGGACAGAAGTCCGAGACATTGTTCAGGAGGCGGCAACAAAGTACGTCCCAAAGAAAAAGAAAACCAAGAAGGCAAAATGGTTGTCTGCTGAGACACTGGAAGTAGCCCAAGAAAGGAGGAAAGCAAAAGGAAACAGGGATAAGGGGAGATATGCCCAGTTAAATGCGCAATTCCAGAGGTTAGCCAGAAGAGATAAGGAACTATTTTTAAATAAGCAATGCATGGAAGTTGAAGAAGACAACAAAATAGGAAGGACAAGAGACCTCTTCCAGAAAATTAGAAACATTGGAGGTAAATTTCAGGCAAAAATTGGTATGATAAGAAACAAAGATGGCAGGGACCTAACAGAAGCTGAAGAGATGAAGAGAAGGTGGCGAGACTATACAGAAGATCTGTATAGGAAGGATAATAATATTGAGGATAGTTTTGACGGTGTGGTGAATGAATTAGAACCAGACATCCTGAGGAGTGAGTTGAATGGGCCTTAAGAAGCATTGCTAACAACAAGGCAGCAGGAGATGACGGGATCCCAGCTGAACTGTTTAAAATCTTAAAAGATGATGCTGTCAAGGTGATGCATGCCATTTGCCAGCAAATATGGAAAACACAATAATGGCCATCAGACTGGAAAAAATCAACTTATATCCCCATACCAAAAAAGGGAAATGCGAAAGACTGCTCAAACTTCCGTACAGTGGCCCTTATTTCACATGCCAGTAAGGTAATGCTCAAGATCCTGCAAGGAAGACTCCAGCAATACATGGAGCGAGAGTTGCCAGATGTTCAAGCTGGGTTTAGAAAAGGTAGAGGAACGAGAGACCAAATTGCCAATATCCGCTGGATAATGGAGAAAGGCAGGGAGTTTCAGAAAAACATCTACTTCCTGCTTCATTGACTATTCTAAAGCCTTTGACTGTGTGGATCATAATAAATTGTGGCAAGTTCTTGGTGGGATGGGCATCCCAAGCCACCTTGTCTCTCTCCTGCGGAATCTGTACAAGGACCAAGTAGCAACAGTCAGAACTGACCACGGAACAACAGACTGGTTCAAGATTGGGAAAGGCGTACGGCAAGGCTGCATCCTCTCACCCAACCTTTTTAACTTGTATGCAGAACACATCATGCGATGTGCGGGGCTT